CTGTCTGTCTGTCTGTCTGTCTGTCTGTCTGTCTGTCTGTCTGTCCTCTCTCTCTCATTAATCTAAGGGTAGGTTCCTCTTGTGTAGGGCTATTGCTTCATGCTTATTTCACGACGTGGTGGAATCAGGCACTCGTCAGTTTTTGGGCATGTGGAGTTGTTGGTATCATCTAAAAGGATTTTCATTTGCCTTGCTTTGGATGAAAGAAATATCCATTTATCTTCAGTACATGTCGAGATATTTGCAATTGAAGGAGGTGATGTCATCTGTTTTTTAAAGTAAAATTAGTGAGAAAATGGGCGTCAAAGTTTGGAGGCTTCCGGAGCTTATGAGTACTTGGAAACTGCAAACTTACATTTTTTGTGTCTTTAATCGATGTCTTTCCATAAAATCCACACATAAAAGTGTTTTTGAATAGACATACATGGTGTTGTGCCAACAAACAAAAATTCGAAAATAAATCCCAAACTGGACGAAAAATGCCGATTTCTCTGATTTCATTATTTTGACGAGCGCTTGATTTCACCACAATGCCTCACCTATACAGGCGGTTCGCCGTGGCACGCAGAAGGCCTAAGTTCGTTTGTTCTTTGGGAAGAATTTTTATCCAGCATTTCAGTTTGTCTGCCTCGACGTTGTAATAATGATTCCCTCAGTCCTGAAATTGGAGTGGCGTCGGTAGCTCAGTGGTTAGGCTCATCATCACCCGGTGCCTTGCCGACTGGCGTGGGCAATCATTTCACTCTGTCCCACGTTGCAGCAATGGTGTCTCTTGTTCTTGTTGCTCCAAGCCATGTTGTCATCTTGTCTAGTATCTTTTCCCTCAGTCTGCCTCTGCCTCTCTTTCAATCAAACGTGCCTGTTGTTACAATATTCTCCAATGCTTCTTTCTGCATTGTGTGTCCGAAGAAATTTGCCTGTCGCTTTCTTATATTTCGTCATGAGCTGTCTTCTACAATTTGCTTCAACCAAGAATTCTTCATTTGTTTTTCATGGAATACGTAGCATTCGTCTTAAGAACCACAACTCTGTCGCCACATCTGTTTATTGATTGTCCATGCTTCGCACCCGGTTAGGCTACTGGACTCGTAATCGTGAGATTGCGGGTTGGGGTTTCGAGCCTCAGCTCCGTCCGACATTGTGCTCTTTGTAAAGGCACTTTACAAGAACTTCCCACTTGGCTCTGTCCTATCGTAGACGGACGTTAAACTAGGAGGCCCCGCCACTTAAATAACCTAATAGTGTTGATAGAGGTGTTAAACCCATACCATTTCACCTGAAATTGGCCGCCTCACGATCTATATTGTGACAATGGGGGTGTAAAACACCTACATTAAATAAAAAAGTTATTTTGTTAAACATTGAGGTTTAGTTTCTGCAAGAGTTTTACGGAACATGTAACACTATAAGGTCATATGAGTGCCAAAGAATAGATGTGTTTCAAGAGAGTAATATAGAGTCTACATAAAAAAAGAAGGAAGAGAGATAAGGACGATTGATATGTTATGTATGTATGTATGTAGTATAGGGTTTTACGGCGCTCGCAACTGCTAAGGTCATATGAGCGCGCATTGATATGTCAGATAGGAAAGAAGGAGCAAACCACACCAGAGCACCAATCAATCATCCTCTTCTATATTTAGACATCGCATCTTCTGGTGACGTGTATACAGTACTATTCATTTTGTTTCTTGGAAAACGAAAATCACGAAGCAAAGCTTGTTTTTGTATAACTGGTGTAATAGAAACAGTGCGTGAATAACGAAGCAAACAGGGGTCGTTTTGCAAGAATAAAGGTAGGTTCACATTTTATAATAATGCTATTCACATAATTTCGTTGCATGAATAGTGCTGTGCTTGGCAAAGCTTAAAAAATGGAGACTATTTATCTATTCCCTCCCTTCTCCTCTTTTTATCCCAGTCTTTCTCTCCACCTCTCCATCTCTTCTAATATCCCTCTCCCCTTCCCCAGCCCATCTCTCTATCTCTCTGAGTTTCTCCCCCCCCTCTCTGTCTATCTGTCTATCTGTCTGTCTGTCTGTCTGTCGGTCTGTCTGTCTGTCTGTCTGTCTGTCTGTCTGTCTGTCTGTCTCTGTCTGTCTGTCTGTCTGTCTGTCTGTCTGTCTGTCTGTCTGTCTGTCTGTTCTCTCTCTCTCTCACTCTCTCTCACTCTCTCTCTCT